TGCACGCGCACCACGAGCCGAACTTCCGCGCGAGGCCCGCCGGGTGGCGCGGCTGGAACGACCGGAAGCTGCAGGACCCGTACGCGCCCTTCGCGATGCAGACGCCGTGCCGCCACGTTGACCGCATCGGCGCCGGCATGTGGTTCGGCATGGGGCACTTCGCGCTGAAGAACTACTTCGGCATTTGCAACTGGCGCTTCGCAATGCGGCTCGCGTTCTGGGGCATCGCCGGATGGGTCTACGCGCTCGGCACGTACGCGCTGCGCATGCACCGCAACGGCTGGCAGTGGAAGAACCGCAGTGCCGTCTTCGAGATGGAGTAGGCGCAGCTGGCACGGGCATATGAAGAAGCAGTCGGGCGCGGCCCATACATACATGCACACACACACAGACACATACACAACAACACGTATGCACGCGCTCATATATTTATATACGCACATCAAAGTAGGAGATGAGGCTGGGAAATAAATGGTGGTGTATGGGAGAGAAAAAAAAAAGGGGATGATAGCTGTTTGATGTGTGTGTGTGTGTGGGTGGGTGGGTGTATGTATTGGCGCAAGGATGCCTTCGTCTGTCTGTCTCTGTGTGTCTGTGCGTGAATGAATGAGAAAGACAGAAAGGAGAGTGGGGTCTGCTTTGGTTACGGTTTAGTGGAGGATGAGCTGCATGGGGGAAGGGAAAAGGAAAACAAAGATATATATATATATATATATATTAGGAAAGGGGGAGAGGTGTCATTTCTGTTTTAGTACAATCAACATGGCACGCACGCATGGATGTGTATATATGTACATCTATGTGCACGCAGACAGATACAGCGGATGGGAGCAGAAAAAACCCGGGAGGGGGAGATGTGGAGAGTGCCTTTGGTGGAATGTGCGGGGCTCGATCTGTATCTATCTACCTACCTCTCTCTCTCTCTCTCCCTCTCTCTGCGTCTGTGTGTGTGTGTGTCTGTATGCACATACGTGTGGTATATAACGTTTGTGTGTGGGTGTGCGGTTAGCAAGAGTGAAGAGTACAGCGTGGGGCGAATACGCCGTCGTGCCGTAGGAACACCACCAGCAGCAGCAGTAGTGGCAAGCGCAGAAACGGTATGGATGACAGAAACAGCAACAGAGCATCCCGTGCTCATTTTGAATGGCATGGAATGTAGAGACACCTTCATTTTTTCCATGCTTACTGCCTCTTCCTCTGTTGTTTTGTTGGCAGCACACACGCGAGTCATTTGCTTCTTGTTTTGTTGTTGGCCTACGTGTCTCTGCGTGTGTGTGTGTGTGTGTGTGTGTGTGTGTGTGTGTGTGGATGCACCGCTGCGGCTGCTGGCAGGACTCGAGCTGAGCGAATGCGTGCGCCCACCCCCCTTTTGCCGCTCAGGCAACACACACACACACACACACAACGAGCATAGCAACAGCGAACAGTGCAATGAACACATGGTGAAAGCGAAAGAGAATACAGAAGAAGAAATCGCCGTGGCATGTGTGCTGTGTGGTGGGTATTGCCGCTAGCTGCTGGTGTTGTGGTGGATGTTGTTGCTGCTGGCCAGCACCATCCACGCCGAACATCGGCCCCTCACCTGTCCTACATGCGCACACCTGCGTGGGACTCTTCTGTCGCGTTTCGATGCGTTGGACGTGTAGCGCGCAGCACACCTGCTGTAAATCTCGCACCTTCTCTCTTTTCCCTTTCTTCTTGTTGTTGTTGTTGTTGTCTCCCTCTGTGTCATGCTAGGCAATCGCTTTTTTGGTGGGGTGGATGTGGTAATGGCTGCTGTGTAGCCGCCGTGCTGCTGCACCACTCCCCTGTGCACGTATGCATGCATACAGCAGAGGGAATAAGAAGGCAAATGTGTGCTGCAGCGTCACTGAGGCAGCAGCGGTGCGACGAAGGCAGCGGGACGAGGGCGGCACACGGGCACGGAATTGGCCCACAGCAACGGACGGGGGTGAAACAAAGGCGATTGTGGTTGTGAAGGGCGAACGAAGCGATGCGGCGTCGAGCAGAGGGACGTCAGGCACTCATTGAGTGCAACAGCCGTTGGTGTTACCCCTCTCAGCATCCGTGGGAGCAGCAGACGTATTGGCTGCCGCTTTGGGTGGAGCGGGGGGATATCGGCTTGTACCTTTTGGCGTTCCGAGGACGCCGTCGGCAGTGGCACGTCACATTTTCCTTGCTCTCTTTGTCTCTCGCCTTTTGTGTATCTGTGTGTGTGTGTGTGTGTGTGTGTGTGTGTGTGCTA